GAGATAAGCTGGGCCACATTCTGGAGGAGTTCGCTACTCTGCAGGACGAGGTGAAGGGCCGCTGTTTTCTCTTTAGTATTCGCCTTCATTCCTTTATTTTAACGATACTTTAACAAGACACCGCCATAGAGTGCCACAGTGACGCGTCCGAAAACCCGAAAGTAAGTTAGCATTTTACCACTTCCGGTTCCTTCGACAAAAAAGCAATGCAATTTCTCCATAGGATTTTGGAAAATAGCTGGAAATAAGGTCTGTGGTTGACACACATTTAAGAGACGGATCACGTTTTGTTCTATAACATTAAATACATCAGCAGTGACCCCACTGGTGATTTTTGAAGAGTTTACGTGTCTGAAAAACGATGGTTGTTAACAAGTGGCTGAATAGGACTACAGAAGTTGTCGAGGCCGGTTTACGTTATTACACCGAACACGTAAACACTCCCGCTAAGTTTGTTTTTCCCCGTGTTCTGCTTGAAAGCAAGTACCTGCCTCCTGCAAACTATTCAAACAAACGCTTCAACTTGTACAATTTTGAATCTGTAGTTTTGAATATGGATCTTAAGTTGGCGTGACGTTGAAGCAGCGACCCTGCTGTAGTTCGTTTATAGCATAACGTTAGCATTTTGCTTCTGGCGACTAGATTTATGATTAGAAAATTATAAAATTGGGTAGACATGTTGATATTATCCGGCTGAACAAAACGTGATCCGTCTCTTAAATGTGTGTCAACCACAGACCTTATTTCGAGCTATTTTCCAAAATCCTATGGAGAAATTACATTGCATTTTTGTCGAAGGAACCGGAAGGAGTTTACTTCTGGGTTTTAGGACGCGTCACTGTGGCACTCTATTGCATTTGTGCCACACAAGTCAGGCATTGACACTGTACCTACGCTGATGTTGTAAGTTATAACCCTACTAATCCATTCTTCTTTCTTCAGGCAGAGAAAGTGGATGCAGCGCTGCACAGCTTGCTGATGAAGCTGGAGCCCCAGCGGCAGCATCTAGCCTGTCTGGGTACCTGGATCCTCTACCACAATCTGAGGATCATGGTCCAATACCTGCTCAGCGGCTTTGAACTGGAGCTGTACAGCATGCATGAGTACTACTACATCTACTGGTGAGAGAATACTTTATTAGCTGGTACCTCTAGAATCTCTCTACAGCATGCACAGGTGCATTTTGAACCCCTGAGGTTTAATAAGTGTGTGTTTCCATCTGTAGGTACCTGTCTGAGTTCCTTTACGCGTGGCTGATGTCCACTCTGAGTAGAGCGGACTCCTCTCAGATGGCTGAGGAGAGGCTTTTGGAGGAGCAGGTGAAGGGACGCAGCAGCAAAAAGATCAAGAAGAAGAAAAAAGGTAAGCTCTACTGTCGCCTGAAGTTGGTTCTCAGAGTATGATTAAAATAAATAGATAGATAGATAGATAGATAGATAGATAGATAAATACGTTATTGATCCAAATTTTGGAAATGATTTCGTTACAGAAGGAGCATCAGTGTGTTCAGACATAAAATAAAAAATAATTAAAGAGTGGAGCAGAGAATTTACAAAAAAATAAATAAAATGAAAAATATTATATCAAATATAAACAATATAAACAGTATAACAATTCTTAACTATAACTATTAACTATATTAACCAAAAATATTTGCACATTTTAAATGAACAAGTGTGATTTTTCCTGTAGTGAAGGTGCTTGTCTTATAATGAATTGAAGTCTTGTTTTCCTCTGCAGTTCGCCCTCTGAGCAAAGAGATCACCATGAGCCAAGCGTACCAGAACATGTGTGCTGGCATGTATAAGGTAGGACATCGGCACTGAATTTTGACCCCTCAACTCCTTTCTTCACACCCTGCAGTAACACCCAACCTCTGTGCCTCTCCTCAGACCATGGTAGCTCTGGATATGGACGGGAAGGTTCAAAAGCCTCAGTTCGAGCTGGACAGCGAGCAGGTTCGCTACGAGCATCGCTTCGCCCCCTTCAACAGCGTGGTCACCCCCCCACCTGTGCACTACATCCAGTTTAAGGTACTTGGTTGGTGTTGATGCACTTCATCCAGCAGGCTCTCATTTTCTGTCCCCCTTACTTCAAACACATTTGTATTGTTCTTTCTCCTTAACACTTCTTTTGGTGTCCCCCCTTTTGGTCTTAATATTCGCATAACCCTTCCTTTTTTCCCCCTTGATTTACTTTTGATTCCCTTTGTCGGTCTTGCACTTCCGTCTTTTTCTGCGCGCTCTCTCTGACTTTTCCCTTCTTGTGTTTTTCAGGAGATGTCTGATCTTAAGAAGTACAATCCTCCGCCTGGCTCCACGGACCTTTACATGGCCGCCAGCAAACACTTCCAGCAGGCCAAGCTCATCCTAGAAAATGTGCCCAGCCCAGACCCTGAGGTCAGTAAAACAATAAAACTTCTGAGAGGAAAACCAGTTTGTGTTGTTAGATTCCCCACATTCTTAAACATAAAAGTAATTCTTAAAATGTATACCTGAAAATATGTTCTACTCGAGATACATTTTGGTAAAACAGTTAGTATTACAGCCTTTAAACATTTATTTATAAACATAGCAGCCTCATTTTTAGGGGTCACAAAACTCCAGTTTTTTTACTTTTCTCAACTATCAATAACCACTAATTGATTGACTACAGGTGATCCGAATACTGAAGGTGGCCAAACCCAACATTGTAGTTACGAAGCTCCTGGCTGGGGGGCACAAGAAGGACGCCAAGGTAACAAACTATTCACATTCCCTGGTGTTTAATTTTTGGTTCTTTGGATTTAAATTGTGATAGGTTGATCTTAATGGTGGTCAATGTTGTATATTGTGAAAACGTTGTTCCTTTTTGCATCCCCAGGTGCTCCCAGAATTTGACTTCTCTGCCCACAAGTACTTTCCTGTGGTCAAGATCATCTGATTCTGCACTGCGGGATGAATATGAAGAGCGTCACCTGAAAGATCATCAGCCACAAAGACTGAACCTTCACCTGTGTGTGTGAAAAAGCCCTGCTCCAGTCCATGTCTGAACAATGTGTGTGCGCGTGTGTGTGTGTGATACACCCTACTGTAAAACTGTGATGGAGTGTTCGATACACCCGATTCTTTTTTTTCACACGAATGAGAGATGAAACCAGAACAGAGAAAAATCACGACTGGACTGAAATGACTGCATCATCTTTTTCTATGCTGCCTCCATAACAGATTTGTGAAGTGCACATCATTGGATCGCATGAACCCTTGCTATGTATTTATGTGCTTATCTGAATGAAACGGTTGAGTGTGAAAGGACTACCGTATCCTGTTTTCTTTTGTACCACGCTCGCTACATGCGAGTACTAGATAGGCATCAGTTCAAATTGTAAAACAGACAGGAGATACAGCAGAGAAGAACCCCTCAAAATTGTTATAATTGTGTCAAGCATAGTAACGTTGCAACACACAAAAGATCTGAATATCACGTTTACAGTAACGGGAGACCATATTTTTTGGGAATATTGAAATATGTCAAAACCTAATTTCCCTATTTCTGTGTTTTTAGTTTTCATCTTAGAAAATCCAACATATCTTTCTAATTCAGACATTACATTTATTATATTAATTAAAGGGAACATTAACAAACACAAACATTTGAAGACCCTGCCAAAAATATATGGTCCATAAATATCTGAAAATAGATTCAATGGATACAAAAAAAATAATGATTTGCTTATCTCTCTTTGGCAACAGCTTTTTTTCTATACGAGAACCACTAGCCTCATCATTTAGTTGTGAAAACTGTAGTGTTTACTGATGCATTTTTGGTATTACTGCCATGTACACAGGTTAAGTATACATGTTTGAATTTTTTTATGTACATATTACAAATATGGTTACAATAAATCCCTCTTAAAACCATGTCTCGGTAGTGGTTGATCGATCATCAATAAAGTCTTTGATTATTTAAACCATTCACAAATGTGTTCAACATTCAGAATAAAATAAAATAAAAGCAAATTTAATCCGCAAAAAAAGTAAAAAGTAAATCCAATTTATAAAAATCAAGAAAATATTTTGGCTCCAGAAAGGAAATGGGACATTTAAAAAAAAAAAAAAAAACAGGCAGACATTATCTGACAAATCAAAGTATTGGATGTAAAAAAAATTGCTGTTTCAGATAGCAACCTTAAAAGACACTTCCACATAAATTAGATTTCACCAGTGGTCTGACCAGGAGTGCTGATGTGTGACAGGTTTGGAGTTTGGACACTCTCCGTTACAAAGTGTTTCCAATAATCTGCCGCAGGGTAAAAACCAAAATAACAACTTCCCCACACTAAGCCTCGACGCCTCCTTAGCAAAAAACACAATATGTAAAATGAATGATTTTAATGCACTAGCCCACGCATGAACTCTACCACAGTTATCAAGTTATTAAAAGGCCTTACTAAAAATATGTGTTACTTGGTTTGGGCGTTGCAAGGAAGACTTGTTTTAACAGCTTTTTAATTTAAAACATAACATAATAAAACTGATATTTTCTTTTCTGCAAAGCTGCCCTTGGATTTAAGTCTTACAAATAATGAACAATCTATGTATATGCTTAGATTTATCTTATTCTAAACAATAAAATAAGTAATAAGTCAACCTGCAGAATAGTTTGCATTTGGTTTATTTACTCCGTTAAACCTGGCAGTATTCCCAGAATACCCCCCCCCCCCCCCCCCCCGATGTTTTACTCATAGTGACGGAGAATTTTGCCGGGAATAATTCATTAGTTAAAAATTATCTACTGAAGGACTTTGTACTGAAATGTCCTTCCCAATACATTACAGAGAATTTATCGTGTCAAACATAACAAACGCATTTAGTTTTAAATAACTGTCAAGTCCTCAAATGTATATTTATAAAATATATATAAAAACTGAACGACACCATCTTATCTTAATATTTGGTGAGACGCTAAATATGTTAGTAATGTGCTTTTGCTTTCAATATAAAAAGTTTCCAAAACATCTGCATCATGTTAGGACATGTTTATTGTTCATGGGGATCATGCGGTCAACAATGTCCAATATATGTATATTCTTCATTATGCATTTCATCAAAGCTAATCATCATTCATTCAAGACCAGGATTTGTTTTTATGGCTAAACCTTTACATTCATATGGAAACGATAGGTATTATGAACTTTATAATTCTGAGACATTAAGCCATTATTTAGCATGTGTGTGAAAACGTTAGGATTGTGACTTGTATATAAAATAGTTTATGTTGGAGGTTCAAGACATTGGAAATACTTCAATGGACTGTGAATAAGTCAAAGCATGATAGAGTGGGGTTATTTAGTAACACCATTTAAATGAAATACCTGGAAAAAATGTCTTTCAAAAATCCTCCGTCCTGTATAAAACACAAGGCAATAAAAGATCCCGCCACACAATTTAACTTTTTGTTAATTTCTGATACCTATGTTCATGTTTTCACTCACAAACACACTTTCCAGTCAAATACAGTTTTCAGTTGAATAGACTTATACATTTAAAAAATGCTTAACGTTTTTTTTTTTACAACTGATGGATAATAGGAGCCCCAAAGCAAAACACAATTTCCCTCCTTCAAAGAAATGTGCTTCCCACAAAATAGTCCATTCAGTTCAACAGAGGCAGTATCCACAGCGTAAAGGTGCAAACTCAGTTATCGTACTGAGGCTCTCAATTAGACCTCAATTGTGTCAGAAGCAACTGGACATCGGAAAAATAATGCTGTACACACAATCAATAAGGCATGAGACAATAATGTACAGATGTTTCAAATAACTCGCTTCATTATAATCTGTTTTTTTTCTAAATGATCCCAGATGTTGATCCCAAATTCAATCAAGTGACAATCTAGACATGATTTCTCATAGATCGAAAATGTCCTGTTACACATTACTTGAAAAGCCGCTGCCTCATAATGACACAGATGTACTCAGCAGTCCAACTAGAATCTCAGCACTCTCCTTCATTTGCTACAGTTATGGAAAACCTCATTTGCGTTCTCTGACAGACCTTTTGTTAAATAACATATTCCAGCCATTGACCCGTAGTCAGCACATTACAGTAATACACACCTTATGGCCCTTTAAGGGTCTGCACACCATCATCACATTTGTGTCATCATTCAAGTTACAGTCATTATGGAGCGAACATAATAAACACATCTAATCACATGGTCAAAGCCTAGTAATTCCCAGCGATGTTGAAATGTTCAATCTTTCAAGTCTTGAAATGTCTTAAATAACGCTTAACCAACACCAGGAGCTGAGTAAGCGGTAGTACTTAGAAGTACTGGGTACTTTCATATTACTTTTTCATACTGAAATCAATGTGAGCACAATCATCACAATAAAAACACCATGGGTTACATGTATACAGTGAATGATAGCAATTAGAAACCATAATTGTACATGTTTGGCTGACATTTGCATATTTCAGATTTGAACATGAAATCTTAAATATGCTTACTCTGATACAGAAAACTTGCAAGCTATAAAATGACAATTGTAATTAAATAAAATTGTACATAATCGTTTTAGAGATGACAAATTAAAAAAACATTCCAAAAAGCAAATGATTCTTTAAATCAATCAAAACTAAAGTCCAAAGTCTTTCCTATAAAGATGTTCCTCTGGTTTTGTTTGTGCTCACTGTGTTCGGAGAACCTGTCTGCTGCTGTGTTGCTGAGGTGTTTGATGTGCAAGCTCCTTCTCCAACTCTGGCCCTGTGGGAAAAAGAATATTTGTAAAAATTATAGTTTAACGATATAGCTGTATATTTGGCAGGCCTATCAAAAATAAATGCAACAGAGTACACAAAGCATTACGAATGTCCAACAGTAAACTCTGTGTTAAAAATGTAGACAGCTGAACTGGAAAGCAGAAACCAGATTTGTTTCATGAAACTGGAATATTTTCTTAAGTGACATTCGGCAGGGAAAATGAACATACAGCATTAATATGTAGTGCTCCCATCAATCATCTGTTTGTTAAATCTCTGAAAATAAAGTTAGAACTAACCCTCTCACTAGTTTTAAACACAACTGTGTAACTCAGAAGTGAAAGTGACACGACCATGATGAACAGTTTCTCAATCTGCTCTTAGAGATCACTGAACTAATGTCTGAGCTAAAACTTCATATGAAGTCTGATATTATCACTGTGAGTCTGTGTTATTAATAATAATCTAGTGACTTTCATGAAGGAAGCCACCGTGTATGCCTCAGTTCATACCTTAGATCTGGGCGAGCTCAGCCTGTTTGTCTGCTTCAAACTCGCCTTCGTTCTCATCGTCTCCGTTATAGTCAGCCAGCTCCTCCTCCATGTCTTTGTCTATCAGAAAGTACAATGTGCTTAGCAACATGAAACGTTGTATTCCTGCTCTCTCTTTACACACACAAACACAACTTTATGTCACATACCTATATTTTCAGCTAGTTTACTCCGCCGTTGTTTCTCCAAATCGGCTCCGCCCACCACCTGCTCGTCTGCGTCATAATCTTCTGGCTCCTCAGGTTTCTGACTGAGAGGAGCGTCCTCTACCTTCACCCGGCTCATCAGCATGCCGTCCATCACAGGGTCTGCCTCTGGAGACGTGAGCAAATTGTTGGTTAATTTCCTTAAATTTCCTTAAATGTCACCATCTCTCCACTGAGAATGCCGGGATAGAAATAAAAAAACTAGTGCTTTTAGTGACCAAGGCCTTGTACCTTCAGTCTGAGTGTCCTCTCCATGGACGTCCATCACCTCCACCTCTTTTTCCTCTGTCAGGTTGTTCTTTACAGGCTCACTGGTCTCTGCCTCCCCCTCCTGAGGTAGGACAGCTCCCTCTGGTGGTAGCAAAGTTTCCTGCTTGACTGCAGCCGCCGAGGGGATGGACTGGGAATCTATTTTGGAGAGATCTTTTCCTGTAGGCAGGTCTACTGGGGTATTAGGACCTAGGAAATAAGCAAGTAGTATGTGAGGATGTAGACTCGAAAATCTACATCAGTCTATGTAAACAGATACAAAATGCATTGAATGTACAACATACACATTCAGTACGTATATATTAGTGTCATTGCATGCTTTTGAGTTCCATCTCAGTTAACTTCACTGAAGTGTCATGACATCCATGTTTGTTACCTTTGTCCACGACAATCTCATTGGTCAGTAGTTCAGATGGATCCTCTCCGTTGGGCTGTGAGAGGGTTGTGTTGCCCTCTAGAGTTTCTGTTTTAACGGCATCAGCCCCAGTCGTGACTCCTCCGTCTTCTTTTGAGGCTTCAGCCACTGCATGTTCGGGCTGAGGAGTAAACACCATCATAAACCACATTCCTTTACGGAAACAGCTGCATGTCAAGTAATTAACAAATGTAGGAAGTGTCGAAATCAGTCAATGCTATTAGATGGGTTTTTTTAAATAAAAAACTAGAGTTAGAAACCCTGGGCAACTTATTCCTTTTGTTACTAAACAAGGTGCAACATTAACTTAATGTCCACTATTGCATGTAAAAGGAGTACAGAGTATGCTTTTTAACAGATATAGAAAAAGAATATGCATGGGAAAATATATGATATTCTAGCAGATCACGATAAAATACATTTGAGTTTATGCAGAGCGACCTTTTTATTAAAAGGATAAAAATCAAGCCTCAAGCATTTATGATAACTGGCGTTCAAAGATTAGAATGAATGCAGAATCAGAAGTGGATTAGGTTTGATCCCAATCCCCAAACCTACAGTAAGAATTGTTTAAATTATTTCCAATGGTTAGTTTTAAACAGAAAAGCAAAGTACCTTTGAGGAAACACCTGAGGGGGTGATGAGCTTTTCCATTTTCTTCTGAACTTCAAGTTTAGCAGCAGCCACTCTCTCATCACACAGCTCCTTCTGGGACAGGACCTGAGACTGGCAATGGGTCCTGTACATGTGTACAAACACACACGTTAAACATGAATAACAGAAAGCTATTCACTCAACTGCAAGTCCTCCCTAAAGCTAAGATAATGATGAAATGTGGTTATTGTCAAGTATTAACATAAACAAAGATTTGATCTAATATCAAACAGAACTGTATAAATATGAGTGATTAAAGTAATATGTTTCTCACATGTCATAAGTGAGTCTGTTGTTGAGGTTTTTGATGTTGCCTTGGCAACTTTGCAGCTCCTTCTGAACCTTCCCCAGGTCATCGTTCAGCTGATTCACCTGACCTACAGTCCAAACACACAAGACATTAAGAGCCACGCAATAACTAAGTTAGATACATTTCCTAAAGCGCTCATTTGGCAGCTAACACAATGAATTTGTTGAGAAGTTGAGGTTGGGAGGTTACCCTTGAGTTCCTGTATGGTTTTGGTACTGGAGGAAATGTTCTGCAACAGTGTGCCCTAGAAGCAGAAACACAAACACCATTAATACTCACAGTTGCTTAACAGGAAATCCCTCTGACGCAATAGTTCATAGACACTAGTTATATATGCAAGTTCTCCCACTTGTATTGTACAGACATCATTTAAACATCAATTGGTGTTTGTGTGCACCTTCTCTTGGCTGAAGGTGTTCTGAGATCCTTCCAGTTGTCTCTTGTAGAGGCTTTCTATGTGGCTAATCTGCTCCTTCTGTCTGTGGATTTCCTCCTGGAACTCAGTCTTCTTCAGCTCCACTACTCCTCTCTCTGCTGCCCCACGCTGCACCTGGCCCTCCAACTCATACAGCTTAGTCTGTACCGAACAGGCAAAGAGAGAGTTTAATGACAAAGGCAATGATTACTGTGTAAGAAAAGAACAGCAACATGTATCTTCAACACAGGAGAAATGTTGGGAATGTATAGTCCTGTTCCACAATGCACATGAGAAAGGAAAGTAAAGTGTGTTGCTTATGGTGATTTTTTTTAGGTAAAGGTTATGGCTTAAACGTTGAAAAAGGTAATTGCATAACAGAAGACCCTTCCACAACCCAAACTATGATATAAGGAATATATAAGGTCTATCTAGCTTTTGCTGATGGAATTCATGATTGTGTTGCAGACCTGCACCAATAAAGTCAGTTAATAATAACCACGTGTTTAATCATTATACAACATGTGAACTGTGTAAACACATTAAGTTCAGGGAAACGCCACAGGCTGACATTGCAAGATCTATTCTGAGAAAAAAAGGGTTTGTAATAATTTCCAACAAGAGACGTTTCAAATTATGTACAACTGATAATTGAATTTAGAGGTGATATTTGCACTGTTCACTCTGGTAGTAAACCACAGAAACACAGAGGATCTTACCTCTAGCTCCACGTTGCGGGAGCTTGACACCCAGTAGTTAAAACCCAGAACCAGGATACAGGCAATTAGAGCGCCGATCATTAGAGGGGGTGATCTTCCTCCACGACGTACATTTCCCAGCCCACCCATAGCTGTCTACACACTGGACACAGAAAAACACAACCAGGGTCAACATACTTTCCGTTAGGGCTGTGCGATTATGGAAAAAATCATAATCACGATTATTTGGGTCAATAATTGATATCGCGATTATTAAATACGATTATTCATTGACTTTGAAAACATCCATTTATTGAACTTTAAAACAAATACAAATAATAATTTGAACAGTATCTTTTTAACTGTTGATTACCCTGAACGTATAATTCAACTAAAAAACCAAGACAAAAATAAATAAATAATGTAAAAATAATAAATACCAATAAACAAGATCAACAAATATTTTGGAGCGCACTTCCCCAAGCTACTAAACATATATAAATATGATAAATACAAATAAATTAGACCAAAATTAATTAGATCAAATATGTTGCACTGTCACAACCTAGCAAAGCAAAATAATTGTTTTTTTCGATTATGTTGTTTTCGTAATTGTGGCAGACCAAAATCGTGATTGCGATTAAAATACGATTAATTGCACAGCCCTACTTTCCGTTGATTCTAAAATGCATGTTTTTAGACTGTGGGTATAGTTTATGAGGATAACCCTCTTTTGGTTTTGCAGGTTGCTCATGGACATGTATGAAGCTCACTGTAGCATTGAGCTACTTCTGCTTGTGTCAGACCAAACTCGTGTCCATCTGTGATATGAGCAAACACAGGAAGGAAGATGTTATCTGATCGTAAACCTCAGTGTTTTTAGAAATTACACTAAAGACACTCTACACATGCAACTTTGTTCATTGTGGGCAAGTATAGACTACGTTTTTAAAAAAACATTTAGGAAACACCCACATGTACATTGTATTGCTTAAGTTCCTAACAATGCTGACTAAATCTAATTGACTGTAAAAAGCTGAGACAAAGCATACATTGTATACTGTAACCTCATCTGCATTGTATCTACTCTTTGGCCTTTCTGGTTGGATACTAAATGCAACTCGTTGTGCAATGTGCAATGACATTAAAGTCGAATCTAATCTAATTAAAAGGACATTTCCAAGGACCCAAAGGTGCTGAAATTCAACAGATTTTCAGCTTACCATTTTCCATGTTTGAAATATGTGTCACCTTACTAGTATACTATTGTCATGTCATGTCTTGTCAATGCATCATGAAAACTAATATGCTCAATCATGCCCATTCATGTTTTTGTCCATCCCATAGAGTAGACTGTGTATATATATTCTCCCATCATGCAAAGGCTCAAATGACAGTTGAGGGTTGATGAAATGTATGTTCCTAATGCACAATACAAACAAACGCCATAATAAAATCATAAAACAGTGGCTGTAGATCAAAACACCACAGAGAAATAACGTAAGAGTACACATTTTGTTTTTCTTTATAAGAGGATTAAAGGGGATGACTTGTTAACCTAGCGAGCTAATGTTGTCGATATTAATGTCGAAGCATGACTTGCTGTGTGGTCATACAGCAGCAGTTATGTTACATTGCAGGGAGTCAACCCCAGCTGAAGAGGACAAACACGCACTGGATTAAGATGATAAAATCTGTTGTTTGCTATCAAATCAAAGCACAGGCCTGAAGGCAGGTTATGCATTAAAGGCGTTATTCAGAAACCGGACAGAGCAGATTTATGCAATATATTTAGATGCTAACGTTAGCCACACAGGTCCCTCGAATACTCGACTAGATAAATGCAGGTCAAGAATGGGCTAACGTTAAAGCTGATAACAGCCACCGCACCGACGTGAAGATCCGTGATGCCGTATACATTATAAGATGAGAAATGACAACACATTCGAAAAATAAGGTTAAGGAACAAACATAATTTGGCCAGTTTAACTAATCAAGTTTAATGTTTTGTTGCACAAAAAATGCTAGCGTCGATAGCAACGTAGCATTTCCCAGTTAGCTTAACAGTTCGCAGCTAGCTAACTAACGCTAACAGACAGACCATGTACTTAACTTACCCGGTAGACTCAAGAGGAAAACAAGGATGTAATGTTGAACCCAGTAGATGGAGTGTTATTAAGTGATATTTTGCTTAAAAAATATATGTCCGCGTTTCACCAGCACAACCTACTAGCACTTTTATTTCCTATCCATTAGTGCCATGTAAACAGCAGAGTGTGTGTTGGCTGGGTCGGTGTGGGACAGTCGGGTGCTGCCTCCGCTTGTCGTAAGAACAAAAACGGCGTTTCGGGTAGATCATCATTTTACTGTTAAAATAACTTTAACTCCATACATTGATTTATCATGTATGCACATTTACAAATTTAAACATTTTTGGTATTTATTTAGATAACAGTATGGAATTTTTGATGCAGTATTTCCTTTGATTGTTCAATTTATAAACGTTGTATTACAAAATGTTATAATTTAGGAGGTTTAGAAGGCACCACGGGCACCCTTCATCACAGGTTGAGTGTTAATGCTTAACATTTCAGACGGAAATACATTCAACTAAAACAGAGAAAATCTTGAGGTGGTGAATCAAGTTAAAAGTCATTCAAAGGGTAAAATTATCACATTTTAATGCATTTTTGTAGTAAACACCCAATTATACAAAACATACATACCTTAAGGGAAAATAATTGGCTGTTGACTACATTATATACAACAATTAACGTTTTTCCATACACAAAATACTCAACAGAAAATAAATTAGGCTGTTATGATAGTGTCCTCCCTCAGTTTTGATTTCATTTCATTTCATGTTCACAGTTTTCTCAGTGGGCTATTTAATTCAGATATAACATGTATCCACTCTTATGGTGAAATATCCAGACATCAAGAAATGTCCACATGTATCACGTTTGATTATCCTTGGATACGGTAAGTGTGTAAATGTGGCATTTTTCTCTTTTATTCATCAATCTGAAATTGTAAAACACTACTGCAGGAAAGACAATAGCACAATAATACATTCAAAAGGGTTTGGCTGAACAGGTTAATCACAGACTTTTTCTTTATGTATACAATGATTCTAACCGAGTGTATGTCTATATCTCAGAAGCGACGACTTCCTCTTTACTTCCTGAGACAATCCTTTTTGTTTAGACTTCCCTTAAGAAGTCTTTAGTCCTTTTTTTCAGGTCAAGCATATGAGCTTTCTTTGCTCTCCCGAGATGACTTACTTCTTTCAAACATCATCAAAGATGCCTGCCCGCGAAGGAGACAGGGACAAATAACGTCCTCCTGTGGATCTACAGTGACACAGAGAGACAGATTGAGTTAAAGAAGTCTGTTTGATTGTTCAAAGCTCAAATTAAACACTGTTCAATTTATTTTGCAAAAAGAACAAACCTTCTGTTTGGTGAACCTTCATCACTGTAATGATCTCGCAGTAAGCTTCTGTGCTGCTCATCCTCCTCCTCCTCCCCATCTCTTCTGAATGTGATAACTAAGAAAAACAGAGAGCACTGTAAGCGTACTGTAAGCAGGCAGACCTATTGATATAAGTGAGACTCCAGTGTTAAACTATTTATAATAAAAACAATAATACAAACAAGCATAACAAATTAGAACCATGCCATCAGCAAGACGCTGTTGGAAAGTTGTATCTTCTTAGTTGGAGTAGCTATGAGTAACACAGACACATTTTCTATTCCATTGTAATGCAATTTTTTTTAATCCTTACCACTATTCTTGGTCTCTGTGACAGGACTGCTCTGGTCGTCGTTTATCTCAGTGTAACCAGCTCTGCTCCGCCCAGCCCCCTCCTGGGCTCCATACCGATCCCTCCAGGCCTGAAGCAGGAAACAAAAACATAAATACCTTGACACAATTAGCACAAACCACTAGGACCAATAAGCCAACTGATTCGGAGGATTTTCTTTCGCTACTCGTAATAAAAAAAGTTTGTATAGAATAAACATTTCTTACCCATCTTCGATTTTCTCCATCCTCAGCTTTCTGTCTTTTTCTTCTTTCTTAAAAAAACAAACACATTGTCCATATCATAAAAACCATGTGCACTTGGTTTAATTATTATAACCCCACAGTGATCAAATAATGTCTTTAGGATATACAACAACTTAATATGAATTGAGGTATAAGAAATTCAAAGTAAAACTAACAATTAAGTTGACTTGAAACACAGAAAGGAAGAAATTATAGATAGAGGCTCAGGCTTCACAAATGTGGCTGTATAACATAATGAAGTTAAACACAAAAGCCAAACAAATACTGCACCTTTGAGCAGATGCATCATAAATAGCGAGAGAGTTGTGATTAAAATACCTCTTCTGATGTGTTCCCTGCCTTCATCCACCAGGTCAGAGGTCAAGTGGTCGTCAGTGATGTACTGATGAAAGCCCAGGAGGTTCAAACAGCGAGAGCCCAGGCTACAAACACAGACACACAATTAAAAAAGACACTGTTCATTGCGTTTGAACAACTGTTTTTAGTTGTAAGTGGTTAATGGCTTACCTGTAATAAGTAGCAAAGCAGAGCAGCAATACCAACATGGGATAGTAGATGTAGAACCCATCAGATATAAAATATAAAACACTCATAGAGCCCATGATCTGCCAGAGGGACAAAGAAAGAGGGACATTGCATCACTCCATTTATTTGAACCCAAAGAAATGTTGTTATTCCTACAAATATTTTCTATAAGCACACACTTAAATGAGTCTGCATTATATGTCTTTGATACTATGAATCTGTTGGTATGTGCTTGTTTGGGTGAAACCCACAGAGGTGTAGGATGTCTGTATTCTGTCCTGGTGTGAGATAGCAGAGTCCATGTGAATCAGGCCCAAAAAGTTGAGGCACAAAGGTGGGGTCAGACGACAAAACAACCTGAGAAGAAACAAATAAAGAGAAGCAAGCCGATATCATAAAACAGTAGTTTAACAAATGGTGGTACTGACTGTGATCCTCTATTGAGATTGTGCTCTATACGTTTCAGTATGCCTCCTATAAAAGTGAAAGAAATGACTAATTATCTTATATTATGACGGGAACATACATGCCGCTGAACTGCAGGCTGTAAGCGTCAGTCTGGTGATGTGGCACCAGGTAATAGTAGTTGAAGACTCGTATCCTGAACACTGTTGAGTAGACACAGAAACACAGGAAGAGGATGCTGACAAAGCACGCCATCTGGTGGAGAGAAACAAAAAAAGGAGAAAGGCAAGGGTGTTACTTCAATATAATGTTCGATACATGAGATCATAAATATCCATATTAGAACTATGAACTACAAAATTACCTAAACCTCCACAGGATATAAGGTAGCTTAATAAAGCTTATGTTTTACCGAATACATGCCTACCTCGATACAGATGTAGTTGTGATGTTTTTCAGCCAGCTGAACAAAGACAGCGAAGAGGGAGAGGACAGGGTGCGTGCTGAAGAAGGTGCACTCAGACCAAACCACTGCTGCTGAGAGGAGGCACAGCAGCACTGTCAGCAGCCTGTAGAAACCCTGCCTGCACACACACTCCCAGTACCACTCTGAGAGAGACACACACATACACACGCTGGTGCATGAGTACATGCTGCAGGTATGGAAACAGTATTTCATACTTAATGTATTTTCATGCATCATGCTTTTTAAGTATTAAGAAGACATTTAATGTAGAGTATGCCAAAGAGAGTTAAACAGCATTTCTCAAGCAGTGAAACCCACCCACTAATTTCATAAAATTAGGAAAATTCTGGGATATATAAGGTCGTTATAAAGCCATTATTGAATTATTGAAGAAAACAAAATGTGCAAAAAAAGTAAAACTTCTGCACAGGTCTTACAGAATAAGGGACATACAATATAAGAAAACAATTTTCTTATATTGTATGTCCCTTAGTCCCTTTGTGTTCGTATGACCAATAAAAAAGCCTTGAACCTCGATATGTTGTATCTTGCTGAAAAATTAATACATTTTAACCTTTGATCATTGGAAAATAGAGTACACCTTTCTATTCAAGCAGGTAGTTAAGGGCATTTATCCGGCATGCTGTGTCTACAATCATAAAAATTAGAAGGCCATTGACTGGAATGAAAAAATAGTAGCATTCAGAATCCAAATGATCTACTATTGATGAGAAATTTGATCAGTTGTAGAATTTTTTTTAAATTAAAACCCAAGACACCAGCAAGCTATTTACAGTCCTGTAGAGAACAACGTTTACTTGTGGAATGTAGGGGCATAAATAAGGTCCCAAAAAAGCAAATTATCAATCTGAAGTACCTACATAATTCATCTAAATGAAGTGTTAAGAGTACTTTCGTTATGTATCTGAGGTTTAGACGCTGACTGGACTCACCCACAGTAGGAGTGTAAATGAACCGTCGGACCCAGCCGTGGTTCTGTTCTGAGGGGAAGCTGTGGGTGAAGTGTCGGAGCGGGCTGCTCTGGCTTTTGGCTACATCTTCTAGATGGAAGGCCTGCTCTAACAAGATGGACCACTGAACCAGGGTCTGACCCTGTCTCTGCACTGCAGAGATTACCTGAAACACAAGAACACACAAGTAACAATATCATGTAATTGTTTGCATTGTTCGTTCAAAACCAAACTGAAATATTACAAATAATATTTACCTTTTTATGAAGCTTAAACAGGCCTCCTTTGGTGGGAAGCACATTCTGCTCACCCCGGGAGCTTTCTGCATTTCTCACCAACTCTTCTTGGTACTCAGCCGGACACTGAAATGAGATCACACTTACAGTTTCATGCTACAGGCCATAAGACTATTTAACACCTGAACTTGCACTGTTTTTGTTTTTATTGTTGTTTCTTATTTTTTTATGTATTTGTATGTCTTGTTATCACACCGTAGTTGTGTATATGTTATGCCAATAAACCTTTGAATCTTGAATAAAAACACAGCCCGGATGTAAAAACTGTGAATGCAGCATTAAACTTTGGATTTACACATAAAAAGAAAACAAATTGGTATTTTACCTTTCCAATAATGGTGTCCACACACTTCCTGAGACCGTGGTTGAACCTGATAGCTTCATGGACACCTGCCACCTCCTGATAATAGTAAATGTTTTTGTTCATGTTAAAGTATGAAAAAAAGTTCTGAGCAATTCCCTAAACACCTGGTGGAATACTCTAACAGCTCAGCTTTGGAGATTAAATCTCACCTCCATTACATCTGCTAGGTTCTCCTCCGCCGAGGCTTTCTCAGTGGCCACCTTTGCTGCCTTGAAATAGGTTTTGGCCAGCAGGTAATCGTAGGAGGATAAGAGCCAATAAGAGCGCGGGATCTCCACGAGGCCGTAGCCCAGCAACAGCACCAGGAGGAAGAGGCCCCAGGTGTTGGCGGCTGTGATGCCGATGGTCTGGAGCTGTCTCCTGCACAAGTTAAAAAAAAAAAAAAATAATCAAAGAACTAAACCACAGAACATCATCGGAATCAGGTTTATTACCAAGTAGGTTTACACATACAATGAATTTGTTTTGGTGTATAATGGTGAATACATAAACAAAGTGAGAGGAATTAAGTTGTAAAACGAAAGGCAAATATAGAACTAACGTAAAAATAATTGTAACAACTATTTTATTATTATAAAACGTAAAACTGTAAATGTAATACAATAAGATAAGAACAAAATACTGTGAACAAATGATGTACATGAGCAGAATTGAAAAGTGCTACCTGAATTGACACACGTTTAACTTACCATGAGAGTTGCCACTGTGGGTGAGCAGCGACGTAGATGAGCAGAGAGATGAAGATGAGGAGGTAGGTGCCATAATAGATAGCATTTTCAATGAGAGCTGTTTTAATCCTTCCAACTCTGGAGAAAGCTCCCGACCGTGCGTACGACTGCATGAAGGGCAACAGCAGCCTACACACACACACACACACACACACACACACACACACACACACACACAACACACACACACACACACACACACACACACACACACACACACACACACACACACACACACACACACACACACACACACACACACACACACACACACACACACACACACACACACACACACACACACACACACACACACACACACACACACACACACCACACACACACACACACACACACACACACACACACACACACACACACACACACACACACACACACACACACACACACACACACACACACACACACACAGTCAGTTAGTCAGTGTTTGAGTCTGTGTGTGTGTGCATGTATGTGTGTGTGTGTTTGTGTCTTACCAAGTAAGAAACTGGGATGTCCAGTATACAACTCTCCAGAACACTGGCAGGATGCCATCTGGGATATAACTCCACGGCTCCTCACAAACCTTTGGTATACTGTGAGAAAAATGTAAGAATACATGTGTACATACAGTGGCATTTCTTTTCGAGAACACACTTTGAGCATAGCTGTCTACCACAGTCTCTTTTTTGAACATTTTGAAATGTCCAGAATTTATTTAGCAAGTTACTGAAACATCTAACTATTTACTATCTACTGTTAATGAAAGACATATTGCTGCTGAATATTATGAGTGTACTTTTGTAATGCTTTAGTATATACATACAAGAATTTCATTCAACTTCATTGTATTGGGGTGGAGGCAGACTTCTGAGGCCTAGGCTCCACGGGGACGAAAACGGGTTGAATCCGCATATTTCTCATGCGTATAGCCCTTTAAGCTCGACGACGCCGTAACGGAAACGTAGAAACAGACCCCGCAAACGACAACGGGTCCAAAGGTGGATAGATCTGGGAACGGAGCGCTCTGGGGGGTCCAACGGGGCCGTGGGGTCGCCTATACGGTCATCCGTTTCATAGCCCCGCCTCTCCCCGCCTCTGCTGCTCACCCCCGCAAAAGTACACTGCACACTGAATTCAGATTATTTATCTTTATCTCGATATGGACATAAACGCGAGTGAAGTCTAATCTGACAGGACGGAGACACGCAGCTCCTCCCGCTGTGATGCAGCGGGAGCAAAACACACACTTCAAGTCAGATCATCACCCTTAGCTATTTTAATTACCTCTCAAACTACCTAAACTAGTTATAAATATGTTTATTTTTACTGTCGAGTCATCATTACTGGATCAGCTGCTGCATGAGACAGACACTGACGCTGTGAGAAGAGAGGAAAAAGAGACAGGCTCTGTGTATTTTATTATCATATATCATTATATCGTCGTTATTCATTTGTTTTAAAGCTCAATAAATAACAAAGAAGACCTTTGACCGGCACTTTTATAATTTTGTCCGGAAGATTTAAACTTTAACACACGTTGACCGGCGAAAAACTCTGCCCGGTTCCCTCCGCCCCCACCGCGGAGAATAAACAGAAGTGCAGCCATGACAACCATTCTTCTTCGCTGCTTTTGTGGAGGAAGTTGCTGCTTTTGTGGAGGAAGTTACAGCGCCACGTACAGGCTCGGCATATGTACTGCAGCTTTTCCAGCGGTTGGATGTAAACGGAGCCGTCTCGTGGAGCTTGACACAATCCGGTGTATATTGCGTGTGGGCGGAAGGTTTTTTGCGGTTGCGTTTGCGTTACTCCGATGCGTTTTGCCGTATGGGTTCCCGTGGAGCCAGGGCCTCAGGCAAAAAGTCATAAAACTCAGACAAACGACACCAATACTATCTGCATGATACCATGGACATAAGTGAGATGAAGGAAGCAGCCCTTATCTACTAGTTGTTGATGCATTAACCTTGTTATCAACCCAGTTTGTTCATCCAGCTAGAAGCTTTTAAATCTAAAAAGACACTGTTATCACCAGACAGTCTAGGGCAGGGCTATTCAATTAGTTTGGAATGGGGGCCGGTTGATGAAAATGATCCAAAGCAAGGGGCCGGGAAAAAGATGGTTTGAAATATGAGCAATCATATTTAAGAGCTTCAGATACAGTAAATACTACAACAGCATAGTGGAGTGCATATATTGTGTTTAATTCAATCAAACAACATAGCCCCAAGGCCTTTATAGATCTAAATGGCAAGTTCAGAACTCAGTAGGCCTACATGTTTCATTTCATTTCATTTAGGTGAAATGATCTAATCATTCACGCAGAGATGCAATCAATGTCAGGAGTTGTCACTACAGTATAGTAGGTGGGTTCGAAACCCGAGCCCGTCGAAGTTTTCAGGCATTGTCTACCCCTCTATCTCTCAATGTAACACCCTCTCTGGAATAAAGGCACTATGGCACAAAAAAAATCTTAAAAAAAAATCTTAAAAAAAAAAATTACTTTTTAACATTATACTCAAAGGGCCAGTAAATATCACCCCGGGGCCGGATTTGGCCCGCGGGCCGCCAATTGAATAGCCCTGGTCTAGGGCATGACCACAACTGTATTATTACAAATAAATTGATGAATTAAGGTTAAAAAAAAATCAAACAGGAAACCCTTTTGAATGAAGCACTCACAATAAAACAAATACTAGCGGAGTATAGAAAACCCCACTGCCAGCTTTTCAGGTTACAAATGTCCAAAATCATGTGAAGCTTGGATATCGGTAACGTATAAATGTAGTTGAAATGACTAAAACATAGTGGTTTTCATCATACTTTTATGTATCTTATTATGTGTATCATGTTGGATAGCATTGGAGGAAAACATGACCTTGAAATGGTCTAAAACAGGGGTGTCAAACTCAATTTCATCGCGGGCCACATTAACATTATGGTTGCACTCAAAGGGCGAGTTGTAACTATATAAATATACATATATAAATATATAATATATATAATGTATTATATTACAGTATTGTCTCTGAATTGGATTATTATCGGATAACTTAGTAATTAACTACGTCTGAAAGCCGAAGTCCAGGGCAAATAATTGCAAGTCTCTTCAGTGCGCATGTCACAAAACGAGATGCATTGTGGGACATGTTGTGTATGGGCAACCTGCTTCTGTAAAGTGGCATGTAACCGAATATAATAAACATATTATATTCTTTGCAAGCTCTTGCTGGCCACATGAAATGAAGTCGCGGGCCGGATTTGGCCCGCGGGCCTTGAGTTTGACACCCCTGGTCTAAAACATCAAACATTATCTTATTTACCTGACAGTTGGATTAACTGAGGATTTGTTTTTCGTCTGATTGCTTTGTCTTGCTTGAGTTACAGGAGAAGGTTGATTTCCATTGTCGAGTATACATTGCTTGTAGATGGTCTTAAAAGAGGAGCAGAGATTACAGTCAGGCAAACACACTCCATGATGAAGTCTATTCATCGCTTTGAAATGGTGCAGGTAGGATGCTGGAGGCAAGACAAATATACACACAGAGCTCAACAACTCAGACACAGATTATTCTAAAAACACAAACAGACTGACATCCCGTTTATCCTTTCTTTACCCTGAGAAGATCCAAAAAACTATACAAAAATACCTTATGTTGCATTTAAACAGCTGCAATGGTTTCATACCGTGCTGACGTCCAGCGGCAGGATGAAGACGATGAGGAAGCAGAGGTACCAGGACAGCAGCGTGCCCAAAAGCACCATCCGCTGCTGCCTCCGCAGGTCTCCATAGCGCTGGAGGAGGTAGAGAGCCAAGAAGAAAACCACTACGACCACTACAGCCAGCGCAGCAGCACTCATGGTGAGGAATGAACACACAGCCGTCAAGGAGTCATGGTGACGCACTGTGGGGGGGGGGGAAGAGATACACACAGAGACACACTGAGAGCATATCAGCTGCTCTTATCTGCTGGATAACATAGAAAGTCAGTATGACCACTTTCACAGAGAAGACGAGGGAGAGAGCAGTGAATGATCACATGCGAAAATAAGAAGGGAAGATGGACAAAGAAAGACGGATGTACAAATATATAAAATACGTTTGGGTGTTAAAGTACCATACCAGTGGTTTTGCATGTGTATGTGCTACAAAATTCAAGGCTTTTATTTTCATTTGTACTTAGCTACAGTGTAGATATGTCAGTGAAAATCTTAGGTCACAGGCTCCTCCCACAGTGCAACACAATAAAACAGATACAATAGTGGAAGTACACATCACATGTACATCACATTAATGCTACTCATCTGCAAATAATGCTGTTGTGTTTTAGAAAAGTGGAAATGTTTTGTTACATGCTTTTCATTATCTGTATAATGTCAACATGCGTTACCAGGCTGTAATGTTATAAGAAAATAAAGTACAAGCTTTTCAATACAGCATTAAAAGAGTCAAGTGCAAAATAACAACAATGTCACTGTGACAGCAAGTGATGCAGACTTGATGTTCACTTTGATGAATTAAAAAGTGTTATTCATTTTAAAGAGAATAGATTAAATAGTATCTGGAATAATCAGAAACCAAACTATAGTTTATATGAAATTGAAACATACAAATATTAATTCATCTATTATATTTAGGTAGACAATTTATAAATATGTAAACCTTGCAAATACACTTTAAGTTTGTTTAAAACCAGTAATTAGATGTTCAAACAAAGAAAGTACTAGTACAAAATGGGCTATTTTGTAGTTTAAATAAAGGTGTGGTTCGAAATGTTCCGATACAAATATGTTCTTTATTATAGGCTATTTCGGGTACCAGTCGAACAGTACATCAATATCTTCCGTTTTTGTTTTTTTCTGACAGCTCGCTCAAATGTAATATCATTTATTTTTACTACCATCACTTTTATGTATACCACCAACGCTGTGGATGGTTTCTATTCTGTCATGAGGGCACTGTGGTCATACTGATGGGACAACAAAGCAGTGCCTTGGTCTCGGTAGTGGTCTCGGATCGTCGGTTGATAATCTGTCTGTGGACAAACAGTCTGTGAATAAATGAACTACAAAAAGTGATCCATCTTACCTCTGGGTTTCTCTGCTCAGGCTGAAGCTTGTAAAGCTGTTAACTGTCTAAATCTCCTGTCACATCGTGTTCCTTAGACGTGGAGTCCGAAATATGTACACAACCTTTGAAACTACATTACGTAAAAGCCACATGACGTGCGCGCATGCGCTCTCTGTCTGATGCTGCAAGGAGTTCTGGGTAATGTAGGCGAGTCAACTCAACTTTATTTAAATAGCACCTTTCATACAATCGGGCAGCCCTAAGTAAATACATAGAAAATGTAGGTCCATAAAGAAAGACTCCACATACAGACATGTTTTGTATATGGTATACATTGTTATATTAATAGTCTGTTAAAAGAAATATGAAAAGTTGCACAAAAGCAACTGATTTATTTGTTTCGTATACATGAATATTATGTCATACAGAAAAATCATTAATCAACATTACAGTATATGCACTCTAAAACTTTAGTCATGACAAAAGGGTATTGAAGAAAATCTGCCAAAAACGATGTTGAAAAATTATAATGGCGTGTAGATTGATAAAAGATAGTTAAAAAGCCCGCATGGTGATGAAGTGATCATCAAAAGCTGTGACATAGGATGAATACTTTTGAGGACAAAATAACTTTTTTTGGCCTAGTTTTATTATGTTGTGACATTTTATTGCACAATACAAACTATTATTTCAGATTCTCATCTCATTGAGATGTACACACATTGAAATATGGCATTACACACACATGTATAAACATTACATTCTATGATGCACTCCCCACTGGCTTTTAGTTCAGATAAAAACATCTGAATTGATATGCTTCCAGTTGTAATTAGCATCAAAAAGTGCATGAATCTTGACTGATGATTATAAGTCTTGATAAATGTCTTCTCCTGTCAAAAATGTAAATATGTTCCCACACACTTCTTATCCAATATGAATGACTAACACGACTTATCTCAGCAGTTCTTCTTTTTCAGTTCTGCTTTTTTTAATACCACATTTAGTCTACGATTGTTGGATGCAGATGAATGTAAAAAATGATTCAAAAAGTCTCAATGAATTGATTCCAGTGTTTTCAACCTTCTAGCTTGTTTTAATTGTCCAAAATAGAGGCAACTTCAAAAGACCAAACGTTGTTTCTGTTGTGGTGAAGAGCTTTACATTTTCCTCGTGGTCCAAATGTTCCAAATGAGAAAGAAAATCCTCTTCAGTCCATTTCAGTTATGGGAGAACATCCACACATATGGGTCGTCGGCATACAGTGGGCCCAGCAGGTTGAAGCACACAGCCCGGTGCTCCAGTAAAATGTCCATCTGGCTCATCAGGTCCAGGCAGAGATGCTCTATAATATTCAGACAAACAGACCAGTCACCAACTGCTGTGGACACACCGAGCGCATCCATCCAAACGGACCCAAAAATGTTCATAGATTCTGGCAAGTCATCAAGGAGATTGTCCAACAGCTCCATTTGGTTCATTAATCGGTTTAAGTAAGCTTCATAGATCAGCAGTCCATTCACGGTGTTGCTCTGTCACACTGGTCTGGTTCTGGTCTCTGTTTCTCTGTCGCTGTCTTGTTCCTACAGTGCAAGGCTTATTGCCCGGATTCAAACAGTTACAAAGCCTACAAAGATAAAACCTGGCTGCATTGGCAGGTGCTTAGTGAGGCCATCTGTCAGCCTACAAGCCACTCACCTTAACCCATTAACCCCTTAACCACTTCTCTTTCTCTCTCTCTCTTTCTCTTGGATTAAGTAGTGTGACTAATCATAGCCTATAATGGCCTTATTACATCCTTAGTTGTAGCATTGTGAACCAGGGGGAACAACATTTAGTCTCCATTTATTGAACTGTCTTTGTCAGTTTGAGCCCTGTTATTAATCTTTTTGGATCACACAGACAACAAGATACTTATGTTCACACATACTCGGAAAAATCTGTTTAACTCTCTGATCATCTCTCTCTGGTCCAGCTCTTTTTTTGTTATTGCCAGTGGCATTTCTACTGTTGAATTGCATTGAATATAATGGGTTTGTAAATGGTATGTTACAGTTTTCACCACTAGATGGAGGTAATAAATGAGTCCTTAAACTAATTCCGCATCCCACAGCGAACAGTGGAGAGACAAACCAGTCTACCTTTTAACAATCATTGAGAAAAGCAACACGTTCTTGACAATATTTAATATTCAAGTTTCAAATGTTTTCATTGTCTTCCTAATTTTACAAAAATAGTTATAATAATACATTATAATTGTAATTCATGCTATAAAGGAAAGTCATTCAGGGGAGAACAATTCTCAGTTTAATCCAACAACTTTTTTTTGAGAGTTCAGACATTCAGAGCTCAGAAGACTGAAACATAATATGAGACTACCTATTTCATAATACTGTCTTCTCTTTTTTCATTCTATTGTCATTAATTACTTTAATCTCTCATTTAAAGAAAGATGGGCTTCTTTGACCTTTTGTTTATAATACAAAAAAGAAAGGTGTCATATTTAAATCTTTGAGAGCGCCAAACACATCTTCAACAAAGACTGAGGTTTCTGTTCACTCCCCTTGGCACAACATGGCAAAGATTATTTGGAAACTCAAACCTTGTATCAAGAGCCTTGTGATCTCAGATTCAATGTTATTAGGACAGAGTGAAGTTAAATGGTGATCGCAATACAACAGAAAAGAACGTATATGTGTATTAACCAGAGACATATATACATACAGTATGCACTTAAATTCAGGAAAAAAATAATTAAGACTAAATTAGTTATAGCTTCAGCTTCAAGCTTTAACCTGATGGCCAAGTAATTGTAAACACATACACGTAATTATACTTTGGCTTTTTGTTGCTTTATATGTATATGCACATAGACAAATGGCAGGAACAACATTGCAAAGCTAAATATACGACAAACACTAACTTTTGACTACTTCTAATACTTTGCACTTATGTGAAAAATAAAAAACAACTATATTACATTACCAACAGATTGGACTCCTAGCTTAGCTTTGTTAGTCACATGATAACCAGGAATGTTAGATGTCTGATGTCACACTGGTGCATGCACTTTGTAGATGTCCTAACATGCAACAGTGCTGCTCTTTAAGCTAATTTGTGACTTTGTATACAGAAGTGTGGGTATTCAGATACTTTTTTGGGGTAATAATTCTACGAGATGTTGACACACTATAACATGAAACATGTCTACAAAGTCTGCAAAGTCTACTATACCTTCTTATCCACAAAAACACTTGATGTGTTTGAACCCTTGAGATGATAACCCTACGTTTTTTTGCCTTTTTAAACATGTTTCATTTGTCTCTGTTACATCAGAGGTGTTGAACATAGGGGATTCCTTGTTAGGGAGCAGGAAAAAAGTGTCTACCTGTGTGGTCAAATCTACCTTTGATAAACTTCCTCTGTCCCTGAAACTGCCTTTACTCGCTCTATTTTTCCTCAGAGTTCAGCACCTCAAGGTATTCTTCACCATATGTTCAACCCCACCACCATAACTCCCTCATGTTGTGGACGAGCAGCCACTGGTACAGCGTTCAGTTTGGCCTCATTCAACCAGTGAGAAACAGTGTGTGAACAGCCTCATCTCCCATCGTGCCCATTGAAAAACAGCTATGAGTGCGCTGAGACCCCTGGGTTTGAAGTCTGTAACATTTGATCCATGGGAAACCCTTGTGCACAAAGATGCCGGTGAACAATGTGGCCCCAGTTCTGTGTGTCCCTAGAGGGCCACTGTAGCCTGCGGATCTGATAACCTGTCCTGGATACATCACTCCCCTGAGAGGGGACCACTCCCATCTGAAACGACTGGCCTGGTACAGCAGCCCGGCAGCTACAGTTTCTCAATGGCGGTGAGATTGAGGAATTGATTGGCCTGTGTGTATTTGTGTATAAAACATGCATGTGTGTATGTGTGTGTGTGTGTGTGTATATGAGAGAGGGAAAGCCTGTGTCGGCAAAAGTAAGCCTATAGGTTGCCAATTACATAATCTACAGTACAAAAGCAGTTTAGATGCTGAAATTGAAAAACTGTCAGACCCAATTTCCTCATCTTCTACCAAAATAAGAGTGCCTAAACATCTTCCCCAAATCTTTACATAAAATTGATGAAGGATGGCAGCAACACGCAAGGAGTATTTCCTCTTTTATCAAGGCTCAAACATAAAAAACATCAAATTAGTGTAGTTTTCTTGCAGGTATGTCATTGGATCCCTTAAAAATCAATCCCAACAGTACATGTGAAACCATTGCAGGCTCATGGATCCTATGGCCAACAATGAGCGAACAGATAGTTGCATTTGGATGGAAAAACCGAAACCCATTTTGTTCCACATTCCTCCTGTAATCTATTTAACAGAACTGAGACCAACCATCTAACTAAAGTAGTCGAGGCTGACAGAGATAAAGCAAGTAAAGTATAAGTACAAATCTAAAAAACTTTAAAAACATGCTTTATTTTGTAACAGAAGCACAAAAAACTTTGTATATTCTCTATGACCCTTGATTTACATATTTCTGTCCCCACACAAGTATAACTAAAGTCCACACATTTTCTACACAGCATCCATGGCAATATGTGACATTCACCTGCTTCTCTGTTGTTTATTTTTCTATGTGTTTTACAGCAGAATGCCAGATTCCCTTTTTTTCTTTCTTCAATTTACAAGTAGTGCTCTCCTGCTGACCCCATCAGTACGTAGCACGGGGACAGCGAGACAAAAGCGACTGTTGTCCGGTGTTGCTTGTTGGGATAGCTGTGTGACGGATGCCATATGGGTCGCTGCGGTGAGTGTGAAGAATGGTGGGGTGCTTATTTAAAGCTTTCCAGATGAACTGAGGTTTAATGATGGGAAAGCCAGGAATCTGGTCTGTCAGTATTGCTGTCACAAACACAATGGGCCTCATGCAAGAGGATTTATGGATATACATTTTCTCTTATTTAGGTTAAAATCCATTATTTCTTCCAATCCTTTGAATGTTATGTTAACCAATGTGGTGGCTACAAACATACATTTTGTAGATACATAAAACATACATTTTGTTTAAAATGTAGATATTTATATGTTTTTGAGTAATTATAATGTTTGATATATTAAATTAATGGGCTAAAGAAGTACTATTAGTCCACTGATCCCAATTAAAACCATAAAAACATTTAAACATTGCGGGGTGATTGGCTTCTGAATGGCTGACATATAACTCATTGGTGTGAGTTTATTGTGTATACGTTTATTCAACAGTACTTCCGTTTCTCTAAAGCTGGACGTCTTCTTCGTACAGCCTTTCTTTGAGTGCATCTCCCCAATTGTTAAACAACAATTTTGCTGCATAATGCCCAATGTCAAGACATTTTCCAGACACATTTTTTATCTGGAAATGGTCTGCATTTGTTGGAAATGACTATGAAAGAATTGTGACCTGAAATCTCTGTGGTGAACCATTAACATTTTCACATAAGTGGTTTCACACACTTTATTCGTTTATTTTCTATTTATTTATTTCAATCAATAAGCATTAAGCTACTTGTTTAGTTGTGCAGGTTGTCATGTAAAATAGGTCTCAGTTGGGAGGGAACATTGTTTCCAGTATAGATAATAATATTGATATGAGCAGCATGACATATTGCATCTTATTCTCTGTAATATTCATCAAATACAACTTTGATTGTGAGTTGCCATATTGGGTTATCATGGATGTCCATCCTTTTGTCACGAGTGTCTCTATATTTATATAAATACTGTTACAGCAGTGCTGCAGTGGGACATGGAGCCACTGACAATGCTGGCCGGTCTGCACTAATAATAAGTCAGGGACTCAGGATGCTCCTCAGAGTTGAAAGAAGCTATTCGGTGTCTCCGGGGCCCAGGGGACGATGGAGCAGCAGAACAGATTCTCTCCTTGCAATTCAGACAGTAATTGCCTGTTTGAGAACTAATGATGGTTATCCAAGCATCTCAGAGGAACGATGATTTCACTGACAACTTGATGCTTTACTTTGTTGCTGCATTATATCATGAATAATCATTACAGTCTTACAGTATTTGCAACATGGCAAACACCACTTTGTCAGCAGTGTATGCTCACATGCTTGTTTTCACACGCATGTTTGTTTCAACACAATAATACATTTAAGACCAGATTCTACTTTAAGTCAATCTAATGGTTAATTTAAATGTAATTTTCTGAAATTAGATTGCAGTGGACCTCAGAGGCAATGGGTCTATAGCACTAGAAAGCAGCTAAAGAAAAAAAGTGTCCCATGCTTTAAAACAAAATCTCTTGCAAAAACAATTACTTTCTCTACACAAAGGGAAGAATCAGTCCAAACCAATAAATGTGCATTATTGTGAGTAACTGTGCAATTAAACAATATATATATATAACTGCTGAATGGAAATAGTTGGTGCCTTGAATTACTCAAACACAGTGGAACTGTGTTGAAACAGCTCTGATCTCCACACAGCAAACCCGAAGGATACTTTGGTGATATTATTCTTGGAAATACTTCTACTTTCTAGTAGTAGCTGGATGCATGCCAAAGTCAGAGGTTATATAATTTATCTTAGCTCATAAGTGTGTGTGTGTGTGTGTGTGTGTGTGTGTGTGTGTGTGTGTGTGTGTGTGTGTGTGTGTGTGTGTGTGTGTGTGTGTGTGTGTGTGTGTGTGTGTGTGTGTGTGTGTGTGTGTGTGTGTGTGTGTGTGTGTGTGTCAACTGACGGTTGAAACATTTCACAACATCTATGCCAAACATGAATTCCCTTGCAATGAGTCAGAAAGGATGCCTTCAGCTGTACCTCTCCAACTTACTCTCTCCCCCACTTTTTTACCCAGACACATAAACCCAACCACACACAAATGCACAAGAAAAACACACACATGTTTCAATACACACCCTCAGCATTCATTGCATCACACATGCCAAACTCTAAATTCCTTAATTTTGCTCCCGGTCGTCAGCTGCTTGTGTTTGGTTGATCCTCTGTGGGAGTGTTTTTCTTGACCAATGTCTCCTGTGCTAAAGTATTCATTACGTTTAAATGGCACACATTTAACTTACTGTCCCAGAAGCATTCAGTTTGCGAAATTCCTCCAAAATTCTAAACACTCATCACTGTTTGAACAGATTGTTTGTTTATAGCAAACAGTTTCAGAGCACGAGTCGTGACTGGAACTTGGTAAACATTTACCCGTTCGGTTTAGCTTTGCCTAACTAAAGACTCCATTGATTTTCATGGACAAAAAGGTGACCTTTGTCTGATGTAAATGTCTAATGGACTTAAATCTAGCAAAAAAGGCAGATTGATTAATGAGTGTGTCCATTGGAGATGTGCCAAAATAAATGTATGAATGGCTAATCCACTTCCATTTTTTTTTGTGATTGATTGAGGACTTTTATTTCACTGTTGACTCACTCTCCACAGGAATCTTCAATCAGGCTGAATTTCTCAAGCGTGAAAAACCATTTGAAAGGAAGGCTGAGAGGGATAGAAGAAACAAGAAGGTCCTTTCTCTTTTTCCTGCTTGGAAAGCTCATTATTCGTCAAATTCCCTCTGTCTGAAAAGCACCCCCCTTCTCTAAATTACCTCACTTTCTTAGATCCCGCCTCACCTCCCCACAAGCTCACACTGTGTGAGTGACTAGTTTTTCTTCTACTACGGCACCGCCTCCGTTTTCCTACTGGCCCTTTCATTCCCTCATCTCGCTGCTGCTCTCTTTTCTCCACCCCCTCTCCTCTTTTTACTCCTCTTTCTCTTCATTGCTGGTTGCTCACACCAACCAGCTCCCAACCAAAGAGCTCCTCTGTCTCTCTCACACTGGGTTTTAAACCAGAACTTTACCTCTGAAAGAAAACATTACTCCAGAGGAACTTATTGCTGAAGTCTAAAGGTACAGAAACTACTTCTATTTTAGTATTTTACCATTTTTAAATGTGCCTGCAAATGCATTTGACCATTTGACCGTTGTAACTGTGTGTATCTGGATGTGTGAGACCGTGAATCCTTATCAGCATAACAACACGTGTGTTGTAGTGACTCAAGTGTACGTATAAGGAAGTGTGCATGCCTTTACATTTGTGAATGAAACACACGCATTCTTGACGCATGCATTTCATTTATGTTTTTTATGCATATTTTGGGGGTTTCATGATTATTAGGCTCCTGTAATCACTCCTATATGCTGCGTTTTGAGTTAAGCATATCAATAATACAAAGCACAACTTAAAATGTGCTTTAAATCTATTATTATCTGACTTAACTAAGAGTGTGACAAAGTGCTTCTCTACCTTTCATCATTGTTTTTTTTTTTGGTCAACCAATGTTTCTAACGCTAGCTCTCACAATATGTCTTCCCTTTCGATCAGGACACTTAACAATACTTAAGCCAAAGGACGTGTGTTAAAAAGAGGAAGAGGGACAGCAGGTGTTCAGCAGCACCTATAAGGTGTCTTGCTTACAGTTAACTTGAGTTCCTGCAGGTCAATAACACATCTGAAGACCCAGCAGCAGCTATGACTCAGAGCAATGGGGAGAACCCACAGAGGACCCGGAGTGGGCTGCAGCAGATCCGGGCCGGGGTCCAGTCCCGATCCCTGCTGGCCAAGAAGAGAGTGGAGAGTATCACGAAGGACGATTTCAGAGGATTCTTCATGAGAAATGCCTTTGTTATCCTTACCGTCGCTGCTGTCATTATTGGTAAGTGAGAACCTTTTCTTTGTCTGGTAAGACAAGTCCAGGCACCACATGGTCATTTAATTGATTGAATATTATTGGAGAAGAATGTGTTAGCACTTAAAGAAAAAGGCAGGAGATTTTCTGTCTCCTCATTACGTCTATCTGGTGTAAGCAACTCCCCAGGACGGAAGAAGGAAAAGAATAGAAACAAACGGTGGAGGATGAGAGAATAAAGGGACCTCAGATGAACCTAGCAGGCAGGCCTTAATCTGACCCGGCAGCTGACCCTTGACCTGCTGCCATTAACCTTTTCAGTCGGTCTCAGTAGGAAGTAAGCCAGGCCCACCCACCGCCTGCACATCTGCAACCCTGCTAGAATTACACCATGCCATGACAAACACACATCCTGATAGCTGCATTCAGGATAGTGTTCACTTCAGGCTGCCGGGTCAGCCACCTGGGCCCTGTTGGTGGATAGAGCTGCAGGGGATAAACTGATAGATGAATATGAGGTTTCAGAGACTGAAGAATATCCCACAAAAAAGTTAATCAAGTTAAATACAATGAGCAAAGCAAATGCAATTCCTCTAAACAATGTTACTCATGCTTAAACCTGGATCATCGGAGCCCCAACTCTCCTGCACCATAGGCAGACTACACTGTATTTTGTATTTTATAATGTAAGTCTGCAAGGCAGTTTTGTGTTACAATACAATGTTTCAGCCCTCCATTCATAAATATGCTTGATTTTGCTGTAATATGCTTACATCAAACAACAGGTGTCAACTAGATTATCTGGTCTTGAAATTCTGATCAGGTTTGGACTTTTCTTCCACATCTTATTATCATTGCAGGCATTATCATGGGATTTGCCCTGCGGCCTTACAAGATGTCGTACCGGGAGATGAAGTTCTTCTCGTTCCCTGGGGAGCTGCTAATGAGAATGCTTCAGATGCTGGTGCTGCCCCTGCTGGTTTCCAGTCTCATCACAGGTAAGAACATCAGGTCATATAACGTATATTAGGACATCTTCCACTTTCTTCATTAATTAATTACCTATTACTCTTGTAGTCTTTTAAAGTTTCACACAGACAGACCATCAAGAACACAACATGTTATCCTGTTAAGCCCCATTCCCCCGCCGGCGGGGGAGAAACCACAACATCTGCAAGCAACAGTGTCTGAGGGCTTCTTAACCTGTTACGAACCTTCCGCCCGGTACCGGGCGGATAAACGCGTCATTTGCAGGAAACAACGTCTAAGGAATCTTAATATTGAATAAAACTATGAATGTGTTATATCCATGTAACGGGAAGAAACTCAGCTAACTGATCTTTTTTATTTATTTTTTCAAAAAAAAAACACAATGCTAGCACTCAGCCTCTGAATTAGCCAACAGCGAAAAAATATAACCCATCTCTGCACCTAAACTCACTCTAACTCCCTTATTACTTATCCTAGATGCACAACCAAACACTCGTTTTTGGTGTCCTGGAGACACTGAATCTACCGGTGCCCTCCTCAACACTCAGTGATAAACATTCGCGACGCTATAAACGAAAGCGTACATCATCACATGTGGAGCTAAGTAGCTAAACACGTAAACATGGCTTACCTTGGTCAAAAGTGGTCTTCAATGTCATTAAAACGATAAAAAAACGATGCTGCAGTTAATCCATAGGTTCATCCTATGTGTCTGTGCCTTCTTTGAAATTATTTCTGATAATCCATAAGCAATAAAACGGATTTTTAGTTTCCAAACTCCAGAAGGAGAAAATCTGCAAATCCAGTTTCTAGACGCGTAGCCCCCACCTTTTCTATTTACAACGAATGTGTATGTAAGCCTCCCCCTTCGATTCTATTGGCTCTAACGGTCACAAGGGTATGTCAACCAACCAAATCGACCAAGGGGGGCCAGAGATAGGTCAAATCCACCCAAATGACCCCAGAAGTGGGGGTTTTTGGCTAAATCTCTCTAAAAAGGTCAAATTTCACTTGTTTTGCATCAATCTTGATACAGGGTACTTATTATATGTTTTACTTTGGATTCCTAAAGCTTTTAGTCTACTAACCCATCATCCAAGGGTAGTTTTCACTATCTGTAAAAAATTATTTTTGGACGGACACTATAATTTACAGTTTTTTACTATGTAAAATCTGAATTTTCTTTAAAATAAAAAACATTTATATTGATTCTGACACTTCTACATCCAACTCACAGGTTTATCATTACTTTGAGAACAAAGATTATTAATTTAACCCTTTTAGAAGGGAAGATATGGTCATTTGTTCTGGGAATGTCATTTTCGAGCCTGAGACCTGAAAAACAGGCTCAGAGTGGAACAGGTTAAGATTTAATAAACTATGAATGTTTCGTATCCATGTAACAGGAAGAAACTCAGCTAACTATGAACCATTTTTAGCAAAAAAAAACACAAGACTAATGCTGAGCCTCTGAATTAGCCCTGAGCGAAAAAATGCTAACGCCGTTAGCACAGAACTCACGGTATAAAACCCTTATTACTTATTGTAAATGCACATCCAACCCATCGATTAGCATCGTGAGAGTACACAGAATCGATAGGTATCTGTATCATCACTCCATGATCAGAACTCGCGACATGAGAAACAAAAACATACATCACAACACGTGGCATTAGGTAGCCAACACGGCAATATGTCTTACCTTTGTTGTTGTCTGATCAAAAGTTGTCTTCAATGGCATTAAAACGATAAAAACGCTGCTGAAGGTTAATCCATAGGTTAATCCAATGTGTCTGTGTCACTTTGAAATGATTTCTGATAATCCATCAGCAATAAAACTAGTTTTAAATTTTCAGATTTCAGAGCGGAAGATAGGTTTCGCTTTGGGCAAACTGCGTGCGCATAGCTCGTAATGTGTGTGTGTATGTGGAAATTCCCCTTCGATTCTATTGGCTCTAACGGTTCAAAAGAGATGTCAATCATCAAAATCGACCAATGGGTTCCAGAGAAACGGCAAATACGCCCATTTCCACCCAAATGACCCCAGAGGTGGAGTTTTTTTTGCTAAACCTCTCTAAAAAGGTCAAATGTCACTTGTTTTGCATCAATCTTGATACAGGGTACTTATTATATGTTGTACATTGGATTCCTAAAGCTTTTAGTCTCCGATCCCATCATCCAAGGGTGGTTTTCACTATAAGTAATGTTTATTTTTTTGACGAACACTATAATTTACAATCTGCATTTTCTTTAAAATAAAAAACATCTATATTGATTCTGACTCTTCTACATCCAACTCACAGGTTTATCATTACTTTGAGAAAAAAGATTATTAATTTTCCCATTTTAAAAGTGTAGTTATGGTCATTTGTTCTGGAAATGTCATTTTCGAGCCTGAGACCTGAAAAACAGGCTTGGGGCTTAACAGGTTAATCTTCCTTTTTGAAAGCCTCAAATTTTTATTTTAAGTCATTGAAAGTACAACTAAATACATTTTTGAATGATGTGATGTGAATCTGATGGAAATTAGGTACTAATAGCATCATTGATGTTAACAACATACTTGTGTCAATGTTGCAAACACCCAAGGCTTACACACAGCACTCCCAAATAGTTGTCAGACCGTTTAGCAAAGAGAAGTGTTGCTTATTTTTAGTTAAAATAAACCTCAGATATCTAAAATAAGCACACACAACTAAGCCACTTTCAGTTCAAGTATGTGACATTACGATGTTCTAAATGTGTCACCAAACACAGGCCTTTTACTGTATATCCTAAAATAACTTTTTTAAACTGAGGCTTTCTGGCATCTATTATATGAATAGCCCCTCACTAGATAAAATCCACCAATGTCCCCTAGAGGTCTGAAGTAAATCAAAGCATCAGTTTTTTACATATTGGAAAAAGTAGGTCAAATTCGTTGATTGTTTATGTGGGATTTATGTTTGTGTTTTGCAGGTAGCATGTGTTTTCTGTGTATAATCGTAATACCAATGACAGTGCTGTTTGTTGTTTTGTGGCTCCACTGACTAACGTGTAGGCTACCTAATATCTGTCAGAGTGAGCCAGCTGTTTGTTCAGCCAACGCTCTTGTTGGTTTTGGGCATAGCGGTGTGTGTTGGCATGACCTCATGTGCTATACAGACAGATAAAGGATGATATGTTTTCAACTTAAACTACTGGTCTCAGCATCATCGTGCTTGACCCATGTTGTAATGGTCTTAATAGCACAACCAAAGTGATCTAAGCTTTATTTTGTAAATTTGAATAAGCAATTCAGAGCTGTTGGGCTAGGTAACTTTGTGGTTTCTTAAAGATCTCTGTAACTCACATGTATTTGGACCTGTGTTTGAGCAAAAGACAAACATATGGCTTTTTCTCAGTTATAATCCAGGGATGAAATGAGTTCATTCGTCACTGTTGACATGGTTCACAAAAGCGAGTCCGACACGCAGGGAGGCTTTCTCCCTGAGGCAAAGGGTTTGTCCATAGACTCTACTTGTTATGGAAAAAAATATATAGAACATGTGACTTTCCATTCGTAAGCAGCACTGACTGACAAAGGTAGGCGGGATATACTGACACCAAATCTCCAGTCCCTGAGCAGTGATTGACCGGGCAACAGGCCCGTCTCCTAAAGGGATGACAGACACACTTTGTCTGATAATAACCTGCTTTGTGCTGCATCCTCTGACATCATGTCACATGACAGCAGCTACAACATGTGGACACCAACAAAGAGCGTGGTCTGTAGTCAAGTCATCCCGCACACGGCTCCTTTCTCATGTCTGAAGGGATGTGCCTTTTGAACTAATCAGATACAATATTATTTTCTGTAAAGTTTTCATAGGACTAGAAAAAGTCAATTATTATTACAGATAACACACTTAAAGGTGGGGTAGGTAATTTTGGAGAAACCAGCTCGAGTGCGCTAGAATTTGAAAATACACAGCCGGAAAAAATCTGCCACTTCCTTACAGAGCCCCTCCTCCAACACACACGAACGCGCACATGACCAATGAGGGCACGAGATAAGTCTGTGCACAGATGGAAGGCTGACAGGCAGGTAGGCCATTCAGTTATTTTAGCCGGGCCGGCTAAAATGATTGGTCGTGCTTTTTACAGTACTACGGCTTCCATAGATGACATTTTTTTTATGGATTTTTTGTCAAAGCACTTAAGATATTCATTGCTATCGGGATGTTAAGAGCATTCCATGGAATATAACAAAAAGTGTATCTCGAGCCGGTTTCTCAAACTTACCTACCCCACCTTTAACATGACATTCTTTTTAATATATATTTATTTTCTTGTTTTTATAGCCTCATTTTGTGTGCAACTTGATGGATAGTCTACACTGCACCAATAAAATACCTTACACTTATTCTGGTCAATTTGCGTGCAACAACTCTAACCATAACCCTAACATTAACCCTTGTTTCTACAGAGCATATCAAAATAGAGGACATAGCACAAAACTATTTTAACCAGTAAATGCATCAATCTTCCCCAACACCAACTTGAAAATGAAGTTGAACAAATATGTTAAAGAATAAAGTGTTAATTCTAAAATTAAGTCAATATAAAATGTGATTATTGTTATCTTCCATAGTCCCCTGCTATCCTTTAATTCAAACACAACATCTAACATTTAATTACATCATACAGAGGTTACATCAGCCAGCTGTCGGAAATGTTGTAGAGCAGATTGAGGACTGAGGTCACAACAAGAACAGCACCGAAAAAGCATTATGTAACTGGGACTGTAAAAAGTAACTGTTTCACCAAAACAAACAACACACACACACCTGCATATGCACACATTGCAACTCACTATCTTAAAGTTATTTTGACTATCAAAACAATAATCAGAATAAAAAATGTTTTGTACTTTGTCATGGGAGAAAAGGATTGTTTTTAAAATACTGTAAAACATTTTCTTAACTCCTGCAACACAGCTGTTTTACTCACCATTTATTTGAGGCTCACTTTTTTCTCCCACGGTCTT